CCACTACCACTACCACTACTGCTTCTGCTTCTGCTTATACTTCTACTACCACTTCTTCTATTACTGCTCTAAACTTGTTGGACAAATGCGAGCCATCGTTCAACATTGCAAGTCGCAACAGGAAGGGAGCCCTAGGCAGTTGTAATTGTCATGATCAGCCCAATCGTCATCAGAAGTTCAGACGGTGCTTTTCAGCACCGCCATCGTTACAGCACCGCACCACCACTCTTGTACCGCCACCACCATCAGGATTGGCATCATCATCATGACTATCCTTATTCGGCAGTCCTGTTGGCGTGGCAAGTATGACTAACAAGAATATGGCGGTTACACGCGATTACGAAAGCTAATGGACTCTACTGACAGTGCTATTCCAATGGACTTTTTGTTTTGCGTCCCTTCCTCTTCTCGGCGCTGTTAAGCTGCGTGTTTGCTCTTGCTGTTGCTGTTGCTGTTGCTTTTGCTGCTTGTTAAACTGCTTATCGGTGACAGCACCACTCGCCTGCAAGTTTTAAGGAGACAGCGGCTCGGCGGGCAGCCGTCCTCACGGAGTTTGGAACCTTCGAGCTTCGGTGAGTCTGGCCGTAGTGTCGCCCCTTGTCCTGTGCTGGCGGGGGTGGGTGTGGTATTGTAGAGCGCCAGGGGGATTGTTTAGAGACCCTGCTTGAGTCATGCGACCATCTGAGGCAATTTTCCGGCTTGTTATTCGATGCAGTCCATGCACGAGATCCTGAGAAGGGAGCGCCACAGCCTGTTCCTGCCTGAGCGCTGCCTACGGCTGATATTTTTTGGTCTTCGTGTGGCAACACCGGCCTCTTCATTCATGGCATCAACAACACCCGATTGGGGAGTCGAATTTGTGTTGCCACATGCAGGGTGCAGAAAGGGAGTGCTGCGAGACTTGTGCGAGCTGATTAGGCAAGACCTCTTGCCAGAATTTGGAACTCATCTTGGCATGCTCGACTGCACTCAGAAGCTAGCAGCTAGCATCTTCTATTCGAGGAAAGTTTCGCATCTGTCTTGCAATTGGGTTGCCGTTCTGTTGAGAGGCTCATACGTCATGCGTAAGACTTGGCCTGTTGAGCAGGGCATTCGCTCGTGTCCTCATTGATAAACACAAGGGGCTCTTCGGAGAACTGTGCTGTTTTACACTGTTCTTCTGCGTGAGTTTCTCAGCAGCTGCATGTCGTGGCAAAGCCCATCCCTCACAACACATACATGGCAAGAGGGGCTCGCAGTATTTTAGTAACCCCGATTGCCCATTTGCTCCTTTAGCAGCAACGCTTCGTGAAAACGATTTAGCTCTGCTTCTTCAACAATGAGCGGCAGAGCTAAGATCCATCTGCTTTCGAACGCCACTGTGCCAAGTCTTGTGTGACACCGCCTAATCACTGGTCTTGTGTGACATCACCTAATCCCCACACCGACGAGGTAAAATTTAGAGTTGCCAGCCACTTCTTCTTCGAGCACTGTTGCTAGAGAGGCTCGGGAGAGAGAGAGGCGCAGTTCAACTTCGCTGCTGAAACCAGCGCTGCCGTGCTGCTTGCTTCTTATAGGTCCTAGGTCGTGTGCACGGTAGAAACCTACGTAAGCCCTCTGGCCAGCTTGGGAAAAAGGAGGGCGAGGGCTGAGCATGGATGTTCCAAGCAGAAACGTGCAGGCAGGGCGCAGCCTCGAGCTCTCTGTACTCTTCGTGGCTCAGAGCATAAGTCGAACATGAGCGACTCACGACAGATTCAGACCGTGTCAAATCCCACCTATGCAGCTGCCGAATGTCACGCACAGAGCTTTACGTTTGCGATATGCTTCGAAGGTAGCCTTCCGAGGTTCTCACGAGCCAGTTCATGTGCCCAAGCCCTCATCGCCCCCCGAGCAAGCCAGTCGCTATGGCGGCCTCGTTTTGCTAGCCATAGCACTGGCAGGTGAGCAATGAAGTAGCAGTGACCGGGATAGGTATCCCGCATGCCGGTTCTCACGGGATGAACGCTAGCTATTTTCTTGTTTGCGGATGTTCTTCTGTGTTCGCATGTCCAGACTTCGAGTCTCAGCAGGCTGGCTTCATCCAGGATGGTGGGTGAGCCGTTTCGGCCGATCAGCTCCGCGATCGAAATTATTTTTAAGAGCACCAAGAACTTCATCCTGTGCTGCAGTGAGCTTAAAACCATTGGCGCAAGCAGCCGCTGCTCTGCCGTGAGTCATTGAGGCCCCCAGACCGAGTGGCAGGCCGGTGCTTCTGTGGGAAAGACGGTGGTGCTCTGCTGTGCACTGCAACGACGATGGCTGTTTTCACGACTACTGGTACTGTGGAGCAATTTTGCCCCAAGGTGTTCCCAATGGCTAGTGAGACATGGTCCATCAAAACGATGTTGACATGGGCCAAGACCAGTCTTTGCTTAAGCAACGCTCGAAGCCGCTGAAGTGTCCTCAAGCTGTGTTTCTGGCGATGAAAAGGCGAGCTTTCTAACCCGCGAATTGCCACAGCAGTGCTGTGGCGAGACATCGAAAGCCCACAAGCCTTATCAAGGCAACAGCATTACTCTACGGCCGGGGTCGTGGTCGTGGAAAAAGGCAGTTTGCAGTCCCTGCGAGACATCGTCGTTGGTCACTGCCATCGTTGCTGTATTATATATCTATAGAGAATATACCAGCCGTGCAGTTTGTGTTTGCCTATCACTGTCAACGTATAAAGGCATGGAGATTAACGTTTGTTCGTGCAGACTTGCCTGCCTTTGTCCTAGATGAGGGCGTTCGTCGTGAAGCCGTGGGTGCATAGTGCGATCGTTAATGTCGGAACCAGGGCTCCACCTTGGCTGACCTGGCCCGCTCATCGAAGAGGGCGAGTCGCTTCCCAGACAAGAATGGCCGCCTCCCCACGCCTGCCTACAAGAAGCGTAGCTTGGCATTGGGTTTAGGGCGTACTGCTCCCCTCCGGCTTTTTCATGTGTGCGGTGCCAAGAGCTGAACAACGAACACCAAAGCTTGGTCAACTCTCGGTTTTAGTTTAGCAGAGAGTCCGAAAATGACAACCATTTTGAAAGCTCCTGTTTGCTGGTCCCTCTCTGTTGCCCAACGTGGAACTTCACTTGTGAACACTTCGGTGCCTGCGTACGTACATACATACACGCCTACACACACATACATACATATGTGTATATATATGTATATATATTTATTTATTTGTTTATTTATGTATGTAAAACTCTATACGCACATACATACAGATACGTATATATATATATACATACATACATACATACATATATATATATATACATATTCACACATGCATAACACATACATGTATACATGTATACATGTATACATGTATACGTGTATACATACATACATACATACATACATACATACATACATACATACATACATACACACATACACACATACACACATAGATACATATATATGTATATTATATTCACAGTTACCCATCACTTTATGCATCATTAGTTTGTTTGTTCACTTGCCATGCTTTTACATACATATAAAAATACAGATAGAGATGTAGACATAGAGCTGTGCATATATCTATGTATGCATATTTGCACATTCGCGCGCAGACAAGTGTGCTTGTTACATTTCTTTGCGAATCTCTTGTCCCTGTATGTATGTATGCAGTACGCACATGAACGTACACCCTGTGCCTATCGTGCTGTGCAGCTTAGTTAAAGTTAGTCAGCAACACTAAAATCCTGAAGCAAATGCATCAGCCTTGTAGGGGGCAGGCTCTTGTCTAAGTAGTTGCAGACATTCCCGTTGCATTTGGTCCCAACTCACGGTGACTTCGGGGTCGAGAATCAAGAATTATGCATGCACATGCTTGTGCACACATGTGGGGCTGCGTATGCGGTGTAGATTCTTGAATGAATGCAAAGGCACAGGCCCCGCCATCGAGCTGCTTGGCGACAGCTTCGCCACCATTGACGAGGAGGCCAGATATAGGATGTTACTTGCTTTTCACTTCCCGACCACGTGACGCGAGAGGACGGGCCAGACGCGGGGGGGCTTTCTTTTTGTTCAGAAGCCCCATCAGCCACACTTGTGCTTGTCGTTTCTCTTGCTTTGCCGCATGGACATCATGATCAGTAAGGGTTTGCGATTGCATCGGGCAGGACAGCAGTAGTGAGTCGTCCTTCGGCGACCAAGACGACGAGGCATTCCCAATGCCGTGCCAAGGCTGCAAGTTTCTCGCAACAGACGGTTTTACATTGCATGAAACTCAGATACAGGAGTCTGTGCAGTTAATCTGACTGCTCTGAGGCGTGGTCCACGACGTTTGTCTAAATTTTCCCGACACAGCAACTCCTTTGGATTGGAATAAGCATGTTTGCAGCTTGCTGTTTTTTGTGCTTCTTCACTCTCTGCGTGTCTGAGAATTCAAGTGCCCAGGTGTCGATGAACAGCTAAAAAAGAAAACGCAAAGCCTTCTGCCGGACATTCATCTGGTGCTGGAGCGCTTGCGTAGCGATGCTGAAGGCCTCGGAACATGCAATGGGGAGATGCAGGGTGTGAGGAATAGCGAGCAGACTTGTGAGGAGCACAGATCGACCCTGATAGTAAGTCTGTCAGTTGACCCTACTAGTAGAACTCCAGGTTTAGGACACGGTAATTAGCGCGACCGCTGTGAGCTTGACATCTCGAATTCTAGATGCAGGTTTTGTGAATCTCGTGCCGTTTCTATTTCTTGCGAATTGAAACACCCCTCAAGTCGGGTGGGAGTTGATGCTTTAGCCCTAAGCTTTGCGCCATTCAGCCCTCGCTTCGGTTGTCCGCATGTCGCCAGCTGAAACCCATCTGTCTCGTGTGGTGGAAATATGTGCAGACACCGAGCCTCCTGGCATGTCCGAGCAGTGAAAGTCCTAATCCATCGCAGTTTTCCGATGCCTGAGAGGTATTTGGTGAATTTTCGTGGCAATGTGGACAAGGGCCCTACGATCGTAACTAGAACCAACTACGCACTTTTTGTGTATTCCCAGCACCCCATGCGCCTGACACCACGAAGTATATATTCTGATCTTACAACAGGCTGCCTGCTTCATGTCTCAGGCTGCAGGGTGGAACCTGATGGATTCAGCTCTGCACAAACAAGACTTCGCTTCTCAAAGAGGTCGTTGAGTGTACAGACTGTAGACATTTCCAGCCGTGGGGCTTGCCATGCGCAGCGCAGAAGACGGCAAGTAGCAGGGGGGCAAGCTCCCCAAACTCCAAAGCCTCCACCCCCTCAACTGTAAGCCCTCCATACACATTATGTCAACCTCCCAATATCGCCTGAAAGATCACAGACGAAACAACATGAACAACAAACAATGTTGAATTATATAACATAATAGACTGTAACATGCTAGAATATCGTGTTGTGAAATATTATACATTATAAAAAATCATACTTTTTGCCTTTTCAATATTGCATAGTATTATATAATATAAGAGGTCCGTGTATGTATGGTGTATGTATGTATATATACACATACACATACACATATATGTATATGTATATATGTATATGTGTATATATCTATATACACATACACACGGCGGAGGCCTTTCTGAGTCGGAGCTGG